TGCCACACATGTTGGAAGCTTAAAGAACAAGCTAACTACGTGGTCCATCCATAGAAAACTTGCCTTGTAAGCAAAGGCATGTGGCCTAGAAAGTCAACATATATTGGAGGTCTTATAGAACATCGCCATGTGGCTTCTAGTTAGATAGTATATATAGAGGCAAGAGTGAAGCCCTCTTCACTCTTGTCAACTCCTTTCTTGCTTCTAGTCCAGGTTCAAGAGTCTTTAGTTTCTTGTCTTGTGGCAATAGCCATTCCAGTTTCCTTTTAATATACCTACTTGTTTATATTTTGACTTATTATATCGAGATAGCCTTTTGGTGTATATTTTTCCTCATTGAGTCTTTGTCCTTGACATATATATGGATTAGAAGAACCTCAAGTACTTCATGTCAATACATATTTTGCATCATTACAAATCTCATTGGAGTATGTCTTTATCAAGATTTGATTTCAAAATCACCTATAAACTTAAAAAATAATAATATTTATCAAATACACTTTTTAGATGTTTTTATCTTGTATCAAAAAAAAGAGATGCAACTTTTGATTAACAAAGAATGATTCTCTTGAAGCTAAAGTATTTTCATCTTTGAGCAATAAAATCAACATTGACTATTGATTCAACCTTTATTAAGAAAATTCAATCAAATATGTCTTTTAATCTTTTTATTTATGATATTAAGAATAATTCTTGTAAGTCTCATATTACTTCCAAGTTCAGGTTCAAGAATAAGCTATTCTTCTTTGAAGGATGATTATACATTTTAGAAGGTAAAGCATGATTATATGTTCTTCAAGCTCATCATGACTTTTCATTAACTGGACATTTTAGATACAATAAGACTATGGAGCTAAAATCTAAAGATTTTTTGTGGCTTCAAATGTGGAAGGCAATCAAAGACTTTGTACAATTATGTGATATTTAATTAAAATTCAAAATTCCTTGCTATCGATCATATAGACTTTTTCAACCATTACCTATTTAGGAACAACCATGGTCTTATATTTCTATGGATTTCATCACAAATCTATTAGTCTCAAGTTCATATGATTCTATATTCATGATAGAAGATTATTTTACCAAGATGGTATATTTTGTATCATGTATATAATCTATTATAAGTAAAAAAATAGCTAAGTTTTTTCTTGACAACATCTATCACTATCATGGATTATCAAAGGATATTATATTGAATGAGGAGACTCAATTTATATCAAGATGTTGGAAAATTCTTTTTAAGATTTTAAAGATGGATATAAAGCTTTCTTTGGCTTTTTATCCTCAAATTGATAAACAAATGAAACTTGCAAATCAAATTTTGGAGTAATATTTGAAGTGTACTATCAATTATCATCAAGATGATTGGATAACTTTTTTGCCATTGACAGAGTTTGCATGTAATAATTCAATTTATTTTCTTACTCAATAAATGTCTTTTTTTGTTAATTATGGTTATTATATCCGACTTGATATTTTTAAATTTTTTAAAGTTAATAATCCTATGGTAGAAGATTTGGCAAATCATTTGTCAAAGCCACATGTAACAATGAAGGTGTAGTTAAAGAGCACTCAAGAATGACAAAAGATCAATGCAGATGCCTATTCTAAGAAATAACAACAATTCAATGTGAGTGACAAGGTATGGTTACTCCAATGTAATATTAAAACTACTCCTTATTGTAACAAGTTGGACTATTATAAGCTTGGACCTTTTCCTATTTGTGAACAAGTCAATCCTCATATTTATTGATTACATCTATTGGAGTCTATGAATATCCATCCCATATTCTACATGTTTCTTCTTAAGCCATATAAAATAGTGAGTATCTCAGAAAAAAGACAAATACCACTTCTTTCCATAAAAGTGCATAATAATTAAGAATTTGAAGTAGAAGAAGTCTTAGATTCAAGGTGGTGCCAAAATAGGTTAGAATATCTTGTTCATTGTGATAAATATGATATAAGTGAACGTATATAAAAGCCTACAAATAATCTTGCAAATGTGGCAAAAGAAGATTGAGGCTTTTCATTAATGATATCCATCAAAACTAAGCTGAAGAATAGCAAATCTTTATTATAAGTATTCTACCTTCTACTCTTCTTTGTAGCTTCTATATATTTGTAGTCTTAAGGAGATGGAGAATCAACAACCAATAGATTCAATCTAAAAGCCATCATTTTTTAATTTATTAGATGAAATATTGCAATTGTTACAATCTTCAAGACAACATAATTGAGATGAAGATTGTTATGAATGACATGTCCTTCATTGAATAGATGGTGAAATACATGTTTGGTATCATAATCTTAGAAGAAACTCTTGATATTTGGTGATTTTATTAAAGGTAAGAATGACTCTTGATGATATTTCAAATATTTTATTTGAAGGAAGTTATGAAGGCCTCAATAATAATCAAATAATAGAATGGTTTTTCTAGCCTAGTAGGAGACACTATTGATAGTTGAAAGGACCTATCAACCATCTTCAAAGAAAACAAAGATTAGATTATGTGGCAAATATAATTCATTATATCTTCAATTTCTTCAATATATAAAGACTGCTTCTCCTAGAACTTATTTCTAAAAGAGGGAATAATATCATATATATATATATATATATATATATATATATATTCTAATAATTATCCATATAATTAGATAAAAATAGATAAAAATATATTAATTTCATAATATCTTCTAGAAAAGCTTTTTAGAAACTTTATAGACACTGATTTGACTTTTAACATATTTGAAGTTAATTAATAGATTAGAAACTTGATCAATAAATCAACTAAATATTAATACCTTGTAGAACAAATTAACTACATGGCGTAGATGTAGAGAACTTGCCTTTTAAAATAAGATATGTGTCTTACAAAATTAGCATGTATTGAAGGTTCTATAAAACATCGCTACGTAGCTTCTAGTTAGATAGTGTATATAGAGGCAAGATTGAAGCTTTATTCACTCTTGTCAATATCTTTTTAATCCTTAGTCTTATTTCAAGACTTTCTAGTCTTCTTGTCTTTAACAATAGCTATTTTAGTACAATATATTACCATTTTTAATGATTTTTTAGACTTTTTAAGTGACCCAAGAGTGTATTGAGGATTTCTTTTTTAAGATTTATATTCTTGACACCTTTTATATTGATATTATTTTAAATCAAATTTCTAATTTAATATTTATTAATAAATCTATTAATTTTAATATTTTAAAAAATTAAAATATATTTGTTAAAAAATCTTTCAATTAAAATAAATGGATAGGATTTAAAATATCCAAATTTTATTTGTTGCTAATTTTGCTTTATATATCAATTATAATAATATATTTTATTGATTTTACATCTTTAATTTTATTTCATAATCAAACTTGATCATTTTTATACTTTTAATATATTTGAGATTCTAACTTTTCTTTGTGTTCGAAGTTAGATCCTAACATATGACCTAATTAGAATTTAGTTTGTATCATGTAGCTATTGTAATATTATTGCATACCAAAAGAGAATATAAAGGCTTATGTTACATCCTACTAAACTTGATTATAATCTCAACTCTTCTTATAACCTTCTCTCCTCACCAAATCTTTTATTGCACCACATTACTTGGGATGACTTCCAAAGCCGAGGGCTTTGAAGTAGCTTGGTCTTATTAAAATGCCTTCTACTACAAAAATAAAACATTGGTATTCAATCTAATGATCAAAAACATAATATTAATAATAAATTTAACCACTTCCAATAAATGTTACTTCAAGTATTGAAGAAACACTAAAAACAAAATACAAATAGAATATCACATTTAAACAAACATGATCACTATTCTTTTTAATATATACATGATATTGTTCACAACAATATTGTTCACATTATAAAGTATCCAATGTTATCGTAATTCATATTATGCACAACATGACTCTTTTTTTTTTTATTTAGAAACCTCAACCTTAGCTGCACGTTATTTGAACCGAGAAACCAAATTTATAGCACATGCATGATAGAATTTCTGCAATACTTGTGTTAATCAAAACATCAACCAATACTCAGATTGTAGAGTACAGTACACAGCGGATGTTATAATACACATTGTGTACCATCTACCCACTTCGGGGGAAGGATTCAAGTGCAGAAGATACAAAATGGAGATACAGCATTAAATTGCCACTCAAAAGCGGTCTGGATGTGGCGTTAAGATTCATCAAGGCTGTCATTGCTCACTGACGCTTCCAAAGCTACTGCTCAAGCACCACTTTGTTGATTGTTGGCATGTGTTTCCCTTTTGGGGCTCCACACTAAGCAACGCAATGACGGCAACTTTCCATAGCTATTCATTATTTGGATGGGACGCTTTGATCGCAGTATATCCTTAGTATTCCCTTGCTCCAGACTTGCCAAAACCTGAACAATTAAAACATGCCTCAGAACTGCTCCAGTTCATCAGTTCTGCCCTGAAAAGGTCACACTCATTTGTGATGATACCGAGGAGCCTTCACAATCCGAAGTCTGTCAATTTCCCATCGTATTTGGAAGTGATGAGAATGTTGCTGATCTTCACATCGCGATGTATCAAATTTGGACTGCACCCTTTATGTAGTTTCTCCAAGCCTGCAAAGATTCCACGAGGAGCCGTGAATTATGAGCAAGCTATGCACTACAATTTGGTACAGCGTATTATGTGGAAGGAATTGATGCGACTAGAATCCGGTACAATATTTAATGCTGCATTGAGAGCAAAGTTGAGGCGGGTCCTCTAGTCCAGTACATGTGGTCCAAATTTAGAAAATACCTCTGTTATCAATTAGAAACCACTGTCCATTATTGTCCGAAAGTTTGCATGCTGCCGAGTGGCTTCACACAGCCATGTCCTTGTGAGTTGCTAGCGGATGATGAAAGAAGGTACAGTTGGTTGCGTGAACTTCCAATTCTTCCTCCAGAATCATGAAGGTATATTTCCACTGAAATTGTTATTCTGCATTTACCTGCCACTCGCGAAGGACTGCAATGACGACGGAAACTCTGATATAAATGCTGGAATTGAAGTGTAGGATGTACACACTATGGTTTGATATGAGTGAGTTGAGGGTGCTCACAACTCGGGAAGATTGGGCAATGAAGTAAGCCATTCTGAAAGAGATCCCTTGGTGAGTTATTCTATAAATGTCTCTACTTGCTCAGTATTGCGTAGGTTGGTGCCAACTGCAACGGAAAGTCAATTCAAATTGTAGTTTGGAAACACCACATGAATTGGAACTCAGTGTTTACATATTTGTCAAATCACTCAAGTCAGGTAGCTGTTTTGTCAGAGAGTTGCCATCTAAAATTCCTGCGCATGGAAAGCACATCCCCACCTCAAACACATGGAATGGCGCAGTGCAATTGGTCAGCATGCGAGGGTGTTCAAGTGGCAGCAGGGAGGAGCTCAAGACATTTGCATACTTAAGGTGGTGAGGTCTCGAGGGCCATTGAGGCCAGGTGAGATGACTCCATCCAAATTGCTCTCAGAGAGCACTCTGGGAAGATCGATTGAAATAAAGAACCAGGTCAGAAATGTAATGACTACTCTCGTGCAAGATTGGATAAATGCACACCGTAAAGAGCAATCTTCAAGATGAAAAGAAACATCTTACACTGTGAAAAAGGCAAGATTTCTCGTTGCGTACTTTGTGTTGCAAGTGATCCATTCGTCAGGGTATGCATTTAGAAAGACCAATACCTTTTTGCGATATTGAATCGGGTAACCAACATTTTGGAGCCCTTGAGTCGACTGACACAGCACCACTAACATTACCAGTTGTAATGTTAACCTTGCTCCACGGTCCAGGCACACTGACCATGCAGAATAGCAGGGTTGGGACTGCCCGAAGCTTGTCTTTCAGGATGCAAAACCAGACGAAAATCCCCTCTGAAACTTCACACAAAAGCTGATAATGTCTCGACACGGTATTGTGTGGGCGGCAATTAGCTTATTGACTGTTTCGTAGAAAAATTCGAAGTCTAGTATATGTTTTCGGTGCAAGTGGCACAAATGTCCAATTCAAACGATTACACCATCCACTTGAGAAAAAATCGACACCTTGCTCAGCGGACAGCATGTGCACCTGTCAAAGTGATGCATCAGTCAAATTCAACATTGCTCCTGCCACTATATATATATATATATACAACCCGTTGAAGCTTTTGATGCCAAAACTTAGTCAAAACGGAGAATCCGAGGACGATGCCTTTGGAAGGACCCCTGCGAGAATTCTTCCAGCCGTTTTGTGTCCGATTGTTGTATAAAGTTTATACCGAAAAGTAGTTTATACCGCAAGGTCATGTAATCGCAGTTTTTTAAATGATAGTTTCGAAGCATAGTCGAAGGTCCATCTTGACACGATGAGACAGTTTATAAGAATGTGTTCGATTTCATTTAACAACTAACATTGCATCATGAATTCCAGGAGGACTTGCTGTGAGTATTCTGGTCATCTCCAATTTGCCGGTGCTTAGAACTTCGCAGTATCACAATGTCTCCGACGTGTATCTAGCATGGGAGCCTGACTTCAACCTTAAGTTTCACATGTTAAGTAACCGGATTCCTGTCCTGAGCACCAATCTGACGGTTTTGACGCCATGGACTTGCAGGCTCAATGTTAAAACGAATGGAAACCTGGAAATCTTCAACACGTCACCAACAGTATAATTGGAGAGGCACTTTAGTCCTCTAATACCCAACTAAAACGATCATAACAGGAAAAAAGAGCTGCTCTTGCAACCCCAGTGGATCTTTACAGTTTATGCAATTTTCTCAGTTCTGTAGCGAGAAAAAACTACCTTCCACTGATCCAAAGCCGAAGTACTAGCTTCCACTTGACGATCTGCAGAAAATAGTGCTGCCGCAAATCCTTGGAGCTTGCTCTAGGAACAAGCACCACCCTACGAATTGCAGATGGTATTGGGGATTGCATCTCGCACCCACTTGATAGGATGTGTATTATTATAAGAGAACCCTGACTAGTCATGTTTGAGCTAGAAATTCAAAGTGTTATTTCAATGACTCGTATAAACCATGTTTTCATGGCCTCATGGAGGATTGGAATATCTGCATGACAAGTGCTCCCCGTCCATAATTCACGGTGACGTGAAAAAGCACTAACATTCTGAACACCAATCACGCTTGTTGCCGAATTGGCGGATTTAGAGCTGCCGAAACTGAGAATCATTGGGCACGAGGACGTCATTCATGTCACAACAACAACAAAAACAACAATGTTGTGGTAACATTGTTTTGTACAATGGCACAGATCTAAGTGAGGTAGTTAAAAGATGGTATCAAGTATATTTTACCAACTAAGTGTATCTAATTAAATAAAATTAGACTATAATTCTTAATCATATTTTTATAATTTGATTTTTTTTTAAATTGAGAAACTAATATTTTAGATATTATATTTCTTCTAATTTTCATAATTTATTGTTACTTGAAATAGATCTATAAATTATCAAACAATCAATAATGCAAGTTCCACCAATGGCATAGTATATAGAATAATCAAAAAAACATTTGAAATAAATATTATAAAATAAAATAACACTCATTATATTAATAAAATTATAATATTTTTTTAAAATACAAACATAAATAAAATAAACCATGTAAAATTATACTAATAATTTTTTCATAACAACATCAAATTTATTCTATGTTATACCTAAAAACTAATTAATACTCTGATCTTACATACTAATGGTGTTCCAAATGTTTGATTAGAATAAGAATAATAGATTACTAATAAGAATTGTTATTTTCCACATTATATTGATTTTTTATAAATATTATTGATTTTTTTTTTAAAAAAAATATTAGATTTTTTGGCTAGAAATCTAGATCATGCAATCACTTTTACACAAAAAGATAAGTTAATTTTTAGTACGTATTTGATTTTTTCTTGCTTTTTCCATCTAAATTAAAATAATATGATTTAGATATCAAGCACATAAATCTCAAAGAAAGAGAATCTCAATGTCTCGTGTATTACTCAAAAAGACTATGGAATCACTCGAAGATGATAACATATTAAACTAGAATGGCTATTGCCAAAGATAATAAGACTAAAAAGTCTTGAAACAAGACTAGAAACTAAAAAGATATTGACAAGGGTGAAGAAGACTTCACTCTTGCTTCCATACATACTATCTAACTAGAAATTATATAGTAATGCTCTATATAACCTCCAATATGTGTTGACTTTATAAGACACATGTTTAACTTGTAGGTAAGTTTTCTATATGTGTGCCATATTGTTAACTTGTTCTATAAGCTATCAATATCTATGGCACATAGTTAATTTGTTGATCGAATTTCTAATCTATCAATCAACTACAAATATGTATAAAATCAAAATCATATCTATGAAGCTTCTAAGAAGTTTTTTTAGAATTTATTATAAATTAATTTATATTTACCTACTTCTACTTAATCATATAGATAATTATTGGAATAAATATGCATGTCCATGATATTACCTCTTCTTCTAGAGATGAGTTCTATAAGAAGTGATCATCATCTTTCAAGAATCTTGATATTCTTTATCTTGATTTTGATGGATTTTGTCAATGAAAAGCTTCAATCTTTATTGCTATATTTGTAAGATTCTTTGTTGGCTCTCATTTGTATTCACTAATATCATATTCATGCCTATGAACAAGATATTTCAATTTATTTTAGCGCTGCCTTAAATTTAAGACTTTTTTCATTCAAATTCTTGATTATTATCTACTTTTGTAAGAAGAGGTGGCATTTGTCTTCTTCTCAAAATATTTTTTGTCTTATATAGCTCAAGAATATTAGTGCAAAAATAAATTAGTACCAAATAAATATTATCTTTTAGGCTTCAAAAGATACTTCAGCTTTGTTCCTCTATTCAAGTTTGTCTATACATGTCAAATGTATACAAGAAGACACAACTTGAGAAAAGTTCTTGATGAAGATCTTGTAATAATTAAAAATCCAAAAAAAAAAAATTTTACATCTCTGATTGTTTTTGAGATGTTCCAATCCATAATAGTCTGGACCTTCTTTAGATCCATTACAATATCATCATTTAAAATGATATATCCTAGGAAGTCAACTTGAGTAGTATAAAATATATACTTTTTCATCTTGATGTATAATCGTGCATCTCTTAATTTTTATAATATATGATAAATATAAACTTCATACTCTTTTCTATTGTTTCAGTAGATTAAGATATCATGTGAATAGCAAATAATAAAATCATCAAGAAACTCGGAAAACACATCATTCATTAGATATTGAAAAAGCAACTAGTACATTCATAAGTCCAAAAGGCATGACATTATATTTAAAATATCCAAACTTGATTTGAAATGTAATTTTTTATTCATCTTATTTTTTAATACATACCAAATTCTATGCTTCTTGTACATTTACTTTTGTATAAATTTTTTTTTTAATTTAATTGATTAAGAAGTATTAAAACCAAAGTTAGAAGATATATATTTTTGATGGTAATCTTGTTGAATTTTTGATAGTCCACACATATCTACAGAGATTTGTCTTTTTTCTTCACAAATAAGATTGGAGCTCCAATTAGAGATTTAGTATGGCATATGAAGTTTTTAGCAAAATTCTTATCAATATACTCTTTAAGTACAACCAAATTGCTTTGTGATAGGTTATAGATTGGTCAAAATGGTAGTTGAGTTCTTTCTTGAAGATTAATAAAACAATCATAGAGATGATGCTTTTGAAGAATATTTACATTTATCTTTTCAAAAATATTTTAATAATCATGGAATTGGCTTAGAATATGACTTGAAATCTTTTTTCTATCAATAATAAGTCTAACGTATATATCAAAAGTTGATCTTTCTTTTGCAACATGTATAAAAGCTCTTGAATCTACCAATAATGGTTTGGATTTATTAATCTTATTGGTTTCTACTTATTTAGAAAAATCTTGGTCTAAACTAAGAAAAAATTAAGATTACAAGAAATCCAGTCTATTTGAGGGTTATACTTTTTTAGCCACAAAATTCTTAAAATAATTGGATTAAAAAGAGATCTAATCATATTAAATATTATTAGACTATTATAACTACTAGTTGCTACATCTAAATGAATGGTTTCATGTATAATATCTCTTGAAGATAACAAACAAGCATTTGTTACTTCTACATGTATAGTTTAGGTTTTTTTAATTAAGGCAATTTCTTATTTTTTGACAAAGTCTTTGTCTATAAAACAAGATAAAGCTCTTGAATCTAATAAGGCTAAGACTTTGTAACTTTTTGGTCCTATACAAACTTCTATTATAAAACAAAGTGACAAATTTGAAGAGAGAATAGAACTTTTATTAGATATTGTGTAAGATTCTAGCCGCATATTTTCTATTATAGCTAAAAAAACTTGTTTTTCAATACATCATCCTCTATAGTAACCATACTCCTCATATTATAAATGCATTGCTTCCTTGAATAATATTGAGTAATGTGCTTGGATTCTCCACAATATAGACATAAACCTTCTTAATAATGACGAGTCTTTTTTCTTCTATACTTGTAGTAATAAGATTCTTTAGATTCAATGGTGAATTTGATCTACTTGTTTCTCTTAATTGTACAACTTCTTGGCAAAGACTTTCAACTTTATTATTGACTTCTTCCATGGATGTAGGAATAATGCATCTATAATTGACATTAGAAATATATGAGATTTCTATTCTAAGAATGTTGACAAACTTGTGAAGATCTAAAATAGTTATAAATCTATTCTCACTTCCATCAATAGTAGCATCTATAATTTATTCTTCCTTCTTTTCATAGATAATTCAAATAAATTAAAAATAAATAAATAAATAAATAAGGAAGATAATCTGCAACTAATAGTATCAAATGAAATTTTCTACAAAGAGAGGTAATTTACTCTCTTTAATGAAAATTAAATGTTAGAAAATTAAATTATTTATTTAAAGATAGATAATCCATAATCTTTAAATGAAATATTAAAATTAAAATAATCTACTTTCTTCTAAAACAAAACAAGAAAAATAAGTTAGTATTCTTGTCAAACTATCAAGGACATGATTTAAAAAAAAAAAAAAAAAAAAAAAAAAAAACATCAATACACTCTTGTGTCATTCAACAAGACTATGACATCTTTCAAAGATAATAATATATTGAACTAGAATGGCTATTGCCAAAGACAATAAGACTAAAAAGTCTTGAAAGAAGACTAGAGACTAAAAAGACATTAACAAGAGTGAAAAAGGCTTTACTCTTACTTCCATATATATTATCTAACTAAGAACTAAATGGAAATATTTTATACAACATCCAACATGTGTTGATGTAGCAGGACACATGTCTTAACTTTCAAGGCAAGTTTTTGATATATATGCCATATTATTAGCTTGTTCTATAAGCTACCAATATAAATGGTATATGATTAATTTGTTGACCAAATTTCTAATCTACCAATCAACCACAAATATGTATAAAGTCAAAACTATATCTATCAAGCTTTTAAGAAGCTTTTTTAAAAGATATTATGAAATTAATCTATATTTACCTACTTCTACCTAATTATATAGATAATAATTGAAATAAATATACATATCTATGATACTAGGATATTTATTGTTTGTGAATGAAATAAATAATATTCTCAATTTTTTTGTTTTAAAGCAAGAAAATAATAATAATAAATAAATAATAATTAATTTAATAAATATTTTTTAATATTCATTAATAAATGGTATGGAATTTAGATTGGCTTAAAAAATTTATGTACTAGTTTTGAATAAAATTTAATTATTCTAATGTCCTTATTAGAACCTTTTCAAAATAATTTTTTAAAGTATTGTCATATTATATAGAATTTGGTTTTAAAATGCAATGGACTTAAAATTAATATATATATATATATATATATATATATATATTCTACATTCAAGTTATAATATAAAATAATAATATATTTTATAACACATTTCTTTAATAATCTCAACTTCCTTAACAATTCTATATCTTAAATCCTAATCCAAGTTTGAAATCTTAATCCATTTGAAATGTTAACTTTTTTTCAAATTTGGTTTAGAATTTAACTATAACAACTCCTACTAATGACTTAAATCTCTACTTTTGCAAATTTAGATAGTTAAGAAATTGTGATTAACCTGAAATAGCTTAATACTAATACTTTCTTGTGTAGGAGGTCAAATATCCTCCA